ATCAATCAATCAATCAATCAATCAATCAATCAATCAATCAATCAATCAATCAGTTATTCAACTCATCATCTGTACGTACCGCCTCTGCTGTCACCGTTGTTGACCTAACCAGTCTCTTGACGACCTTCTGCTCATGGCATTGCTAATGATAATCAATCAAGCAATCACCTCTCTGTGTGTGATCTTCTGCCCGTGGTGCTGCAATCAATCAATCAATCAGTTATTCAACTCGTCATCTGTACGTACCGCCTCTGCTGTCACCGTTGTTGCTGTCTCTTATACACATCTAGATGTGTATAAGAGACAGCCCCTATACCATCCATATATCCCCCTATACCCCTCCTATACCCCCCCATACACCCCCCTCATCCCCAAAAGTTTATCAGCACATTTGGGCTGTACTGAGCAAGCGCAGTACATCCCCAAACTCAGATTTGAAAAACAAAAAAGTGGATGGCTGTTTTCTGACTAGTCGGTAGACCGCCGACCAGTCAGCCCCGACTGGTGGGCTGCAATACAGTCGGTCGGCAGGTATGCAATCCTGGTGTCACTCTAATTCGCAGCGAAACACAACTTCACAAACAGAGAAAACACAAACACCACGTATAACTACGTCAGACCATGGAATTTGATTTTCAGTCTTTTCAACCGACTCATCAGGAGGAGGAGGAGGTTGGAACCTTTTGTTTTTGTTCTGTTCATCATTTCCCAGGAGGGTGAACCACCTCCACTCATTCTCTCCACGGTACACTTTCACTGACTGATGTATTCAGACGACACACAACACCTCACCCACATTTGTCATCACCCCTTAAAGAAGGGGGAACTTGTAAAACAACAAGGTCAAAAACAAAAAACAAAAAAAAAAGCAAAAAACGCGGGAAGCATTCAAATTCCCTCACAACAACTAACCTCCCTTGCAGTCCGCGCACACCAGAAACTCTACCGCGTCTTCACCCGAAAAGAACGCCCAGTCATTACACACCTGTTATGTATCTATAGACTAAAAGTTGCCCAAATACATGACAGCTATAATGACCGGGCCTTCTATAGGGGTGACGACGGTAGTTCAAGAGAGTCCCTCTCCCTGGACCCCCTCCCACCGGGCCGGGGGTTCCTTGCCGGTCAAGAAGGGTAATACCTCGTGGGAATACATAGCGAAGACACATTTCTAGTCAGATGAATTTGGCCGCTCTCGTAGTGGCCGGTACATTTCCTAAAATTGTGGCTTGTTAACTAGCGGGCATGACTTTAGGAAGTGTTACTGGTGGTTTAAGAAAATTGCAAACTCCAACCCCCACCGCCCCCCTTGACAACACACACACAAAAAAAAAAAAAAAAAAGGTTGAAAAAAGAAGCAAAAATAATGCTGGCAGCCTGCTCACCAGTTGTGGCCGATTGGGAGTGGTCATTGTGCAGCAGCCAATTAGCGCCGACATCATCAGCATGATCCACAGCAGATGGGATGAAGTCATAGCATCGCAGCAAAGGTATCACTACAGAGTCTGTCATTCGGCAATGGACGCTCTTGATTCCCTGCAAGTAACGCCGTGATCCGGATGGGAAAAGGGGGAAGTACAGGGAGTAGGGAGGGGGAGGGGGTTGGGTTAACAAACGGGAATATTTGGTAAATGACATGACATGTGGGGTGAATACTCCACCCAAAACTGTATGATGATCCCTACCATCTTCAACCGAATAGAATGCCCGGTCATTATAGCTGTATTCGATGCAACTTTCAGTCCAGATACGGCAATAATTACCCGGCGTTCTATTCGGGTGAAGACGGTAGGCAGGCTAACAGTACAATCCTGACAGTACCAATTCCAAAACTGTTGATGAAGAGTTCCTCTAATGACAAGACCCATCATCATCATCATCATCATTATCATCATAAGAGTTAAAAAATAAAAACAATATATTAGTAAATTGTAAACAACAAAATTAAATAAAGAATTTCATTCATCTATTTCATACACGTTCATTGACCTTGTGCCTACAAATTTGTCATAATCTCCCCCACCCCCAACCCCCCATTCCCCCCCCATCCCCCCCCACAATGCCCCCGCCATCTTATTTGTTCTCTGACTAATGAGTGAGGGCAGCCATGCAGCAGCTTCCTTAAACTTTTTTTTTTTTTTTTTTTTTGAGTTTGCTACAAAGGTACAACCTGCTAAGCTGTAATGTAGAGGACCCCGGCCTCTGAATTATCATTGAACAAAAGAGTTGCATTCGGAAAAAAAAAAAAAAAAAAAAAAGCTGAGTGCTATGGTTGTTGATCAGTTTGTGACTCTTGTGAATTTGTGATTTTTTAACACATTTAATTTATAAATTATAATAATTTGAAATTTCCAATTTTATTTTTTTTTTTTGGTAAAACATTTTTGCTATTTTAACGAGTTTTGGATATGCCGCCGGCTGTCAGACACGCAGACAGACTTCTTGCAGAGAGGACAAATCAAATGCCAAAGTCGGTACCTCCAGCGAGGACAGATATGAAAGTCGGGACTTCCAGTGAGGACAAGATTGCAAAGTTGGGTCTTCGGCATTGCTCAGATTAAGAACGATGGTCATTGCACATAAGACACACATAAGACATACTTTTTTTCTTTTCTACCCGCAAGTTTTCCCTTTTTTGGGTTTTGCCCTTATTTACCCCCTCTCTGTGCGTGTATGGTTTGTGTGTTATGTTCTACTCCCCTTTTTTTTCCACCCTTTCCCCTTTTGGAAAGTGAGGACAGGTTCACTGTATTTTTGGGAAAATGGATACAATGAACCCGCCTGCCTGTAGGGTCAACAGGTGAAGCAAAGGTCAATATTTTATAGAAATATGTCAGAAGACAACGCCCCTTCAGGCGCGACTCCCATTTCTCCAAAAAAAA